AAAAAAAAAAAAAATAAATAAAAAAAAAAAAACCACCACGTGCGTGAGAAAGAAGGCATGCGCATGCGCGAGAGAGAGAGAGGTTGAATAGCAAAAATAAAAAGCGTATCAAATAATTGTCGCCGCGATCTATTTCATAGTCAAAATATTTTTTATTTTTGTTTTTTTTTAATTGAAAGATCTCAATAATAATTGTCATTGTTTCGGTATTTAGTGTTTTTTTTTGTTTCCACGACAACAACGTTAAGCACATTCCGAGTTTTGCAACCCATTCGTGCTTGTTTCAAAAACACTATCATAGTATTACCTATAAGAACTCTTTTTATTTTTAAGGATGCAGGAGGTTTATAATTTTTCGATGTTTTAACGGATACCTTTGAGAGTGAAAAATCATTGAAGTATGATTTATTTATTTTTTTTGCCCAAATATGGACGAATGACAAAAAAACAAAAATGCATCGAATCGGTGAGGCGATTAGTTTGTGGTCTTAATGATTTTTTTTTTATTATTTTTTTTTTAATTATTATTATTTTTTTTTAATTCATAAAAAGAGCACGACTTGATTTACGAATTTTCAAACTTCTCTTTATCACGAAAAATCATCAAAGTTCCCTCTTACAAATTGCGAATAACACGCGTGTGAAACTTCCGACAACGCCTCTCTTTCATACTTATTTTTGGGGTCCACTTCCACTTGATGACTGGTCGTCGCATTTTCCAAAGGTCTCGGTTCTATAAGAGCTACTTGTATGTCGTGTGTAGTATCGCCAAAGACCAATCCCCCATAAAATGTTAACCCCTAAGAATCCACTTATGTGCTGGTCATCCGCCGCCGAAAACACGCCACCTTCAAGTTGACACAGATGCCAAAACCCACTATATTGCAATCTTATGGTTGCAAACGCCTTGCGTGCCAAACTTTGTCAAACTGCCAGCACCACCTTGTTATTGTTTACCACGTAGGCGCGGGAAATACAACCTTAAGGTAACCAAAGGAGTGGGACTAAGAAGTGCGCCCAAAAAAGAGAGAGAGAGAGAGAGAGAGAGAGAGAGAGAGAGAGAGAGAGAGAGAGAGAGAGAGAGAGAGGCGGAATGACAAAAATGGAACACGAGTTAAATTGTGGGTGCGATTTATTTCGTGGTTAAATATTTTTTATTTTTATTTTAATATTTTTTTCTTGAAAGATCATAACAAAGTTTGTAATAACTTCATTTTTCATATTTTTCCATGCATTCGGTTGAGCGTAAAAAAATCACTGAATTTAGAGTACTTTTTTCGTTGGCCCACACATAGTTGAGTGGCAAAAATAAAAAATGTGTCAAATCGACGCGATGATTATTTCACGGTCTTTATAATTTTTCAAAAATTTTCGACATTTTTTATGGAACGACCATAACTTATTATAAGCATTCACAAATTTGCAGATGTTTCTGTGAATTTTCCTGACAACAAAACATTGTCAAAGTCGCCTCTTGCAAATTGTGGGACTGGACCCGCCGTTATACTTCGCCTTGGACAACCTTCGTGTGAGAGTCTCGAAAACACTTACCCTTCTTACTTCTTTTTGGGGTCCGCATCTACTTGAACACCGATCTTTCATTTTTTTCAAAAGTCCCGGTTCTAAGAAAGGTAGTTGTAGGTCGTCCCCAACATCACCAAGAACCACTCCGTAAAAAACTTTGGTCCCCTAAGAACCTATTGCGTTTTGGTCGCCCGCCACAAAGAATGGGGCACCTTAACACGGACGCTTAGACCCTCTAAACCGCAATCGTATGACTACGAATTTGCCTCTCTCTCTCTCTCTCTCTCTCTCTTTGTGAAGAACAAAGAAACACAAACCCTTAGGGTTGCGTTCCCTTCCCCCACCACGATAGGGAATTTAAACCACCATCACTGAGCAATTGTTTTTTAAAAATCACAACCATTAACGCACCACGACTTTCGGGGGTAGTGAAAGAAAATCCCCAGTCGCTGCATAAACTTTAAAAACGAGAAAAAAAA